CAAATCCCAACTTTACCATATGTTATAGCATTGAACTATGTGGGAAGCTCCATAGTGTTACAGCCACATGGGTAGCCCTGACTTCTTAGTGCTTGTCTTTGAAGCTGGTCTCAGATGGAGTTACATGCATTTTCTTAAGCTGCTGAGATACGCTTTAAAACCAAAAGAAAACCCCAGAAAATCCTGAATGTATTACCCAAGAGGAAAGCTCTTTGGTCATTACTGTTGACTTCTGAACCCGTTGTCAACATGACCAGCAGCTGAGAATGGACAAAGCTTGAGTGATTTCCATTGTCTGAATATTAAGAATGTGTATTTGCTATGACTAAGATTCAGGTTCCTGCAGTGAAACCGTTAGCTTATCTTTTACATCAAGGCAGCAACCACAAAAAAGGCCACTGAGACAGACATCCTTGACACGTGGTTTTAGTAAGTAGTGTGCATGCAACAAAGTCACAGCAGTGATTTAGCACCCGGCACAACAGCTGGAACGACACACCACAGCACTTTAACACAGCCTAAGGCCCATCTCAAGCTCTAAGAGTTTATCATCCCAGCATAGAGCCTCGTAGCTAAGAGATACACAGATTTAGAGCCAAAACACACAGGGACTGCACAGCACCCCACCTCTCTGCACATCCGTTTACACCTTTGTCAGACATGCCTTCACTTTTGCCTGGTGTGAAGCACTGGTTTTACTTACAGATTCACACAGACCTAAAGCATACTCTGTAAACCTTCCTTCAGTCTGCCAACACTGGGAAAAGCCAGAGCAGTGCTCACAAAGCCCAAGAATACAAAGCCTCTGTTTTCCCCTCACTGGCTATAAGAGGAGTGTTAAAGCTGTCTAATATATGGGCACATGAGCACAACTGACATCACTAGTTCAGGTATTAGAACAGGATGCCCAGGGCACTGGTGGAATCACCATTTCTGGAAGCGTTCACAAAGCATGCAGATGAGGCCCTTAGTGACATGGGTTAGTGGTGGACTTGCAGTGTTGGGGAACAGTTGGACTTGATTACCTTCAAGGTCTTTTCCAACCTGGTTGATTCTATGACTGTGGGAATTGATTCACACCCTGGCAGACTGATTTTGAGATGCATGGTGCAAACTATGGCCAGCTTGTGCTTGGTGTTGCAGTTGGATTCTCGGCATGCTGGCTGAGAACACACCCAGACTGACGATCTGAAATGATGGGAAAGGAGCCTTCCTTCCATTCAGCCTCCCACAGAGGATTTGCTCATGTTTTCTGCAGGAACAATGTGGTCAGTAAGAGGTACCAGTCCTCCAGGCTGCTTTAGTACAGAAGAATGTAGATGCAAGTGTGCCTACAGGACCAATTCCCAGCATTCGTAATAAGATAGTGTTCCCATAGAGGAGGCATACTGCTATCAAGTGAGACCCACAGGTGGAGAAGGCTTTGTGCCTGTTCTCAGAAGAGTTCATGCACAGAATAGCCCACAGGATGTAGATATACGACACCAGAGTGACTGCAAAGGTGAGGCGCTGCCCTCAATATCTCCAGCAACTGTGAGAATTACCAGTTCCCTACTGTAAGTAGATGAGCAGGAGAGGGCCAGCATGGGAGGGATATCACAGTAATATTGGTCAACCTGATTAGAATCGCAAAATGAGAGTGTAAAAATCAAAGATGCCATCAAGCAGTGATAGGCCAAGGGGAACGGCTTGAACCCGCCCGAGGGGAGACTGAGCTGAGCTCTTAGGCAGAAGCTCTTCCCTGTGAGGGTGCTGAGGCGCTGGCACAGGGTGCCCAGAGAAGCTGTGCCTGCCCCAGCCCTGGCAGTGCTCAAGGCCAAGTTGGAGCTGGATGAGCTTGAAGGTCCCTTCCAACACAAACCAGACTGTCACTATGTTAAGCTGTAGGCCTCTGGTGTCAGTGCAGCTCAGGGGAGGAAGGAAACCGTGGTTAACAAGAGAGCAGAGCTGGGTGTAGGCCTGAATTGCCCTTCCCCTGCTCCCAGCCCTGCGGCTCACTCCTCACCCGCATGAGCAGCACACGCCAGAGCCACAAACCAGCACCCACCGCCCAGACACCCCCTCAGCGGACAGGACAAAGGAACCAGCACAGCATCTGGCCCCGTTTCCAGCCCAGCCACCAGGGCCAGGCAGCAGCGGGGTAGCTGAGGCCCGGGACGGCCGCTACACACCGCTGGGGGAGCGAGTCTGGAGACCGCGCTGCGCCGCGCGGCCGGCAGGGGGGCTGCGGACGCCGACTCTCGCAACTGAGCCAGTGGAGGCGCTTCCTGAGCAGGGCAGGGGCCGCTGCCGCGGAGCACGCTGGGACTTGTAGTCCAGGCGCCTCCAGCTTCTACATGGTTTAACAGTTCCATGGACAGGGATTCCACCACTGCCCTGGGCAGCCTGTTCCAATGCCTGAGCACCCTCTGGGGCAGGAATTGTTCCTCAGCTCCATCTAACCCTGCCCTGGTGCAGCTTGAGGCCGGTTCCTCTTGTCCCAGCCCTTGTTCCTTGGGAGCAGAGCCCAGCCCCTCCTGGCTCCATCCTCCTGTCAGGCAGTTGGAGGCAGCCATCAGGTCCCCCCCTGAGCCTTCTCTTCTCCACACTGAACCCCCGCCAGGTCCCTCACTCGTTCCCCATCACACCTGTGCTCCAGGCCCTCCTTCTCCCACAACTGCAGGTACAGTCAAAAAAAGCAAAAGCTTTTCGTTCAACCTCCCATTACAATGTCCATGCCTGATCTGAATGCTCCAGTCTTCCTCTCCCCACAGGTGGCTGCTCCCTGGGTTTAGAGGAACTGTTCTGCATTCCAACAGGGCACAGTAAGATAAAGATGAAGGTGAAGGAGTGTCCCAAGCTTTTGTCTTCTCCCACTTCACCAAGGTAGCTTGGCAATGGCTTGAGGCTGTAACACTGAGTAAGGACGCAAGGAAAAAATCACAACCAGAAGAATGAAGGAAACAAACCACTGAAAACGATGCACAAAGAAAACGAGAAAGAGCATCTTGCATTTGTTGATCATTCCTAAGGTTCACTGACTGCAGAGTTTCCTGCATGGAGGCTAAGAAATCACACAGCTTCGGTAAATTATCTTAGTCACTCCGCGTAGGGCCTCTGTTCTCAGCTTGTACCTCAAATATATACCACATGGGTTAACTTTGCGTGTCCCAGGCACGTATGTATGTGTGGTCTGGGGCTGAGTCACCAGGATATTTAAGTAAGTTGCTAAGTATGTACAGTATTTGTTTATACACGTTTGCCGATGGCACCAAGCTGTGTGGTTCGGTTGATACGCTGGGGGGAAGGAATGCCATCCAGAGGGACCTTGACGCACTCGTGAGGTGGGCTGATGCCAACCTCATGCAGTTTAACCATGCCAAGTGCAAGGTCCTACACCTGGGTGGGAGCAATCCCAGGCACAGCTACGGGCTGGGCAGAGAAGAGATTCAGAGCAGCCCAAGGAGAAGGACTTGAGGTGTTTTGCTTCCTGCAGGTCTCTCCCTCCTTACACTGACTACAAAATAAGCCTCAACGGTTAGATCAGCCTTGCCTGGTTGAATTTTACGCTGCTGAAATTACACCAAACAGATTCTATCTTCCCTATCCCCATACCCTGTCCCCCTGCACTCACGCAGAACACAGGCAGAAGCTGTGGGGTAAAGAGTTCAGAGAGAACATCCCTGAGGCAAGACACTAGAACTTGAGCAAAACAATCACATGGGAGGAAAACAAAACACCACGGCAGAACCTTTCCTATTTCAAACTGTCTTTGATGAGATGGGAAAGCTCCACAGAGGCTTGCAGTAGCCAGTGATGGATATGTTTAGACCTTCCTAATCTCTGGGTAGAGGGTAAACCATGACCCATGAAAGGGATGAAATGGATGCTCTGGTTTTGGGGGAAATGATGTGGGAAAGCCAGCAAGAATAGGGGGAGATTATCATGTTTGGGTTCTTATTCATGTCTCTGCTCTATCATTTGATATTGGTAATATGGGGTTCATCAGTCAACTTAAACAATTAAGTTACTCCTCTAAGCTTAAACTTCTACTGCTCTAGTAATCAATGTAGAGAAAGAAACATTCAAATTCCGGGAAGTATCCAGAGTGCAAACATCTATGTACAGGCTGTGGACACTGCTTCTCTGAGCTTAGGAGAGGACTTTGTGTCTCTCTTCTGATGCGGTTGTGCTTTCAGGGACAAGTCATCTATTGATCAGCTATCCAGCATTAGTCTCAGAGGATCACAGACCCATGAATCAGTAAGAATACAACTTGATGGTTGAATGGGGAGTCTGGCAGTGATGTGAACTCCCTCTCAATTGAAAAAGGAGACTGTGGACTGGAATTCAGCTTGCATGTGTGTTGTTGTATGAGGACCAGCAACACCTAAAACAGTGATTCCCCTCCCTTTCTCTCTGTCCCTTGTAGCTCTCATATAAAGGCTGCTTGTTTCAGTGGGTCAGCAATCCTCGGCATGTAATCCTTCCCATGTTAAACTGACAGAGAGGGGAGATGAGATAAGCTCTTAGGCAGAAGTTCTTCCTTGTGAGGGTGCTGAGGCGCTGGCACAGGGTGCCCAGAGAAGCTGTGGCTGCCCCATCCCTGGCAGTGTTCAAGGCCAGGTTGGAACTGGATGAGCTTGAAGGTCCCTTCCAACTCAAACCAGCCCGGGATTCTACAAACTGATTACAGGAAATTGAACACTAATACCCCACCACTGACAACTGCCATCCTGAGCACAGCCTCCATTGTGACATCAATACAGGGTGTGGCACCTTCACAGCAACAAGTGCCACTGTTCCAGAGCTCCCAGTGTAGTCGTCACAGGCAGAGGACATGAGCAGCAGCAGCTTTCTTCTGGGCCTCAGCATCCTCATCCTGGCTGCTGGGGCCATCCTGCTTGCCATCAGCCGTCGCAGACGGGGTTGCTTGTGGCCATGGGGACCACTTTGTCCCAGCACTGGTGGTGGCTGTCCCCAGGAAGCTGACTGTGCCACACTGCTGTTCCCAGAGGGTGATGGCCAGGGCAAGCAACAGCGGATATGGAGGAGGCGATTTTGGGCAGCAGAGCCATGTAAGTCCCCAGCAGGTCCCCCCAGAGGAGCCCAGCCCCATGTGGAGCAGGCTGGGTGTACGGTCCCAGGTTGGTTCCGGCACCCCGACACTCAGGAACCCCTCCCTCGGTTGCAGGTAACGCTGTGTCCACCCTGTGCGGGCCCCGGCGCTGCAGGCCTGGCTGCACTGACTGCATCAAGGCTGCGCAGGAGCTGCAGGAGCTGGTGCTGTCAGCGTGGGCTGGGAGAGGAGCTGCAGTTGCTCTGGATGCTGGCACATGGCAGGTGCTATGGCAGGACCTGGAGGAGCTGGTGGAGAAGGAGCAGCTGAGCTGCTGCGGCTCCCCCAGTTACCCCAAGAGCATCAGTCGCCCAGAGAACCTGACAGCCACGCTCCTGACACGAGATGGAGGAGCCTCTAAGCAGGTGAGGTCTCTTTGCTTCCTTGACCACACGTGTGCTGGCAGTCTCTTCAGCCCTAAAGATGCACATGGTTTAGAAAGCCCAGCTATGAATGGGGGCCCGGCCCATGCCATTGCAGCAGTCCCAGGAGCAAGCAGCACAGCAGCAGGGCTGCTTCCGTGTCCTGGCATTGGTCAAGGCCAGGCTGGACAGAGCCTTGGGTGGCAAGGTCTAGGGTGAGGTGTCCCTGCCCATGGCAGGGGGCTGGAACTGGATGATCTTAAGGTCCTTTCCAACCCAAAACATTCTATGATACTATATATGTCCAGAGGCAAGCACGTAAGGTCTTACAGTCTTATTGCTTCTGAACTCGAGACGTTCCTCCCAGTAGTCCCCAATAACATCTAAATGAAAAGAGGATAACTTTGTATGTTATGAAAATTGTGTTGGCGCAACAGCAGACCTCAAAGGCTCTGGAGGTCAGAAGAGCCCTCAAAATGCATGAAAAATCATCCTAAATACTTTTAGGCATCTAAAAGTTAGCCAGGTTCTTTTAGTTATCTTTTTAGCTATCATTGGCAAGAAATTGACTCTTCCAAAGATTGACTCATCCCACTGTAAAATAATTTCAAGGGAAATAGCATGTTTTGCTTCCTGCAGGTCTCTCCCTCCTTACACTGACTACAGAATAAGCCTCAGCGGTTAGATCAGCCTTGCCTGGTTGAATTTTACGCTGCTGAAATTACACCAAACAGATTCTATCTTCCCTATCCCCATACCCTGTCCCCCTGCACTCACGCAGAAAACAGGCAGAAGCTCTGGGGTAAAGAGTTCAGAGAAGACATCCCTGAGGCAAGACACTAGAACTTGAGCAAAACAATCACATGGGAGGAAAACAAAACACCACGGCAGAACCTTTCCTATTTCAAACTGTCTTTGATGAGATGGGAAAGCTCCACAGAGGCTTGCAGTAGCCAGTGATGGATATGTCTAGACCTTCAAAATCTCTGGGGAGAGGCTAAAGCATGACACATGAAAGGGATGAAATGGATGCTCTGGTTTGGGGGGAAATGATGTGGGAAAGCCAGCCCAGAATAGGGGGAGATTATCATGTTTGGCTTCTTATTCATGTCTCTGCTCTATCATTTGATATTGGTAATATGGGGTTCATCAGTCAACTTAAACAATTAAGTTACTCCTCTAAGCTTAAACTTCTACTGCTCTAGTAATCAATGTAGAGAAAGAAGCATTCAAATTCCGGGAAGTATCCAGAGTGCAAACATCTATGTACAGGCTGTGGACACTGCTTCTCTGAGCTTAGGAGAGGACTTTGTGTCTCTCTTCTGATGCGGTTGTGCTTTCAGGGACAAGTCATCTGTTGATCAGCCATCTAGTATTACTCTAGGAGTACCACAGACCATGAATCAGTAAAAATACAACTTAATGGTCCAATGGGGAAGACTGGCAGTGATGTGAACTCCCTCTCAATTGAAAAAGGAGACTGTGGACTGGAATTCAGCTTGCATGTGTGTTGTTGTATGAGGACCAGCAACACCTCAAACAGTGATTCCCCTCCCTTTCTGTCTGTCCCTTGTAGCTCTCATATAAAGGCTGCTTGTTTCACCGGGTCAGCAATCCTCGGCATGTAATCCTTGCCATGTTAAACTGACAGAGAGGGGAGATGAGATGAGCTGTGAGGCAGAAGTTCTTCCTTGTGAGGGTGCTGAGGCGCTGGCACAGGGTGCCCAGAGAAGCTGTGGCTGCCCCATTCCTGGCAGTGTTGAAGGCTAGATTAGAACTGGATGAGCTTGAAGGTCCCTTCCAACTCAAACCAGTCTGGGACTGTACAAAATGATTACAGGAAATTGAACACTAATACCCCACCGCTGACAAATGTCATCCTGAGCACAATGTCCATTGTGACAGCAGTACAGGCTGTCACGCACCCCTGGATGGCTATGCTATGTGTTAAGGATATGTATTATTATGGTTCTGCTAAGAGAAGAAGGCAAAACTGAGGTGTCTCAGGGGAGTCACACACAAGGAGACAGTGAGCACAAGGATGGCTGTCCTCTTTGACCCATGATTTCCTTCCAGTTTCAAGACCCGTATCAGCACAAGGATATTTAGGGCTCATGAAGCAGCAGCAGCAGCAGGATGCCCACAGTGCTGGAGTAATGTGGCCTGCAACATCACTCGGCTGTTCTCAGCAGCAGGCTCTAACTTCACAGCAACCCATGCCACTGTTCCACAGCTCCCAGTGTGCTCGTCACGGGCAGTGCACATGAGCAACAGCAGCTTTCTTCTGGGCCTCAGCATCCTCATCCTGGCTGCTGGGGCCATCCTGCTTGCCATCAGTACTTGCCAGTGGGGTCGCTTGTGGCCATGGGGACCACTTTGTCCCAGCACTGGTGGTGGCTGTCCCCAGGAAGGTGACTGTGCCACACTGCTCTTCCCACAGGGTGATGGCCAGGGCAAGCAACGGTGGATATGGAGGAGGCGATTTCGTGCAGCAGAGCCATGTAAGTCCCCAGCAGGTCCCCCCAGAGGAGCCCAGCCCCATGTGGAGCAGGCTGGGTGTACGGTCCCAGGTTGGTTCCGGCACCCCGACACTCAGGAACCCCTCCCTCGGTTGCAGGTAACGCTGTGTCCCCCCTGTGTGGGCCCTGGCGCTGCAGGCCTGGCTGCACTGACTGCATCAAGGCTGCGCAGGAGCTGCAGGAGCTGGTGCTGTCAGCGTGGGCTGGGAGAGGAGCTGCAGCCGCTCTGGATGCTGGCACATGGCAGGTGCTATGGCAGGACCTGGAGGAGCTGGTGGAGAAGGAGCAGCTGAGCTGCTGCGGCTCCCCCAGTTACCCCAAGAGCATCAGTCGCCCCGAGAACCTGACAGCCACACACTTGACTCGAGATGGAGGAGCCCCTATGGAGGAGAGGTCTGTTTGCTTCCTCGACCACACGTGTCCTGGCAGAGTCTCTTCAGCCCTAAAGACACACGTGGCTCGGAAAGCCCTGGAGATACGGATGGGGGCCCCGCCAATGCCGGTGCAGAAGTCCCAGGAGCAAGCAGCACAGCAGCAGGGCTGCCTCCCTGTCCTGCCCAAGCTCATCCTCCCGGGACAGAGCCAGCCCTTGCTGAGGCACGACCTGTGCTCACTGCCCAGACTGAGGCAGGCTGGGGCTGGGCATCTGCTGCCAACCAAGGCTTCTGCCCATGTGGCAAAAGCAAAGCAGCTGAGGCAAAAGGAATGGGTCCTGCAGGAGCAGGTTCAGGCATCCCTCACCTGCACTGTGCTCCCCATGACACCGTGCTCCTGCCTGTATTGCGTCTCCTCCTGCAGCCCCGTTCCAGGGGACAAGAGCATCCAGGCATTCCTGTAGGCCAGGACCCTGCCAGCACATCCCGCAGCTCTGGGAATGGGTTAGGCACAGACACCAAGGACGAACCAAGGACACCCTGTGGAATTCTGAAGGACTCGCCAGGGCCAGCATCCACCCTCAGTACCCAAGCCTAGTCCCAGTATTTCCTGCTGCGGACACCAAGCCAGAGAAGGCACAGGGAGCACACATGTGCTCAACCCATGAAGGCTTCATGGCACGAGCCCCAGGAGTACCTCAGACCCATTGTGGCTGCTGCAAGAAACAAGCTAGGCCTGACGATGGCAGCTTCCCAAGTGGGATAGCCCATCTGAAAAGTACCACCAGCGGGGAAGGGAATGCACCATCCCTAGGCTGTGGGACATGGTCCCAGGGCACCTGCCGGAGCACAGAGAGGCAAAGCAGGTGGACTCCTGACGGCCTCTCACAGGGAAGACCACTCGAGATGGCTCCAAGCCCAAACCCCTGCTGCCCAGAGGGGATCCCCAGCCAGCACAGCCCATCCTCGCAGCAGCACTGCGGTTCCCCTGTCACCAGGAACGTGAGTTCTTGCCAACCATGCCCAGCCCAGGATGCCCAGGACACTGCAGCAGCATCGAACAACAATACCCTGCGTGCGGTGCTGGAGAGGATTCAGCAGCAGCAAAGGAAAGTGTCCTCATCCCTGGAGAGGTCTCCCACTGAATGCAGCTGCCATGGTGCAGAGAGGCAGGGCCAGGCTTCCCAGGGCTCCTGTTCTCCGTGAGCCCTCTGTTCTTGTAAATAAACATGTTGATGGTTCTCCAAAGAGCCATGCAAGTGGACTAACCCCTGCAGGAGGGGCAGGGGGTGTTGGGGATGGGAAGGGAAAGGAAAGGTGGGTTCAGGGGCATAGGGGAAGCTGTGCTGTCCCAGCAGGAGGACCGAGAGAAGAGAAGAAACCTGGGCAAGGTGGTTGCTGCTCCTAAAGCTCCTTCTCAGCCCTGTTCTGGTCAGCTCCTTCTGCCACCCTGCAGGGCAGGTCCTTTGGCTCAACTTCACTTGTTCTCCAAGCCTTCCCTGAGAGCAGCTCCCTCCAGCCCCATGCCAGGCACCTTTGAGGACCACAGGGCGTTCTGCATGCCTGTAGCTGCCTCTCAGGGGCAGCTCCACAGTGGTTTGCCCAGACACAAGCTCATTAACCAAACAAGATGATGCCAGTGTCCAGCTGCAGGGCTGAGGTCCTCGATGCCTACAGTAGGTCTCTTGGGCCACTTGCTGTAGTAACATTTCTATGCTGTGCCCCGCATCCCGAAGCTGTCCTGCTCCAACGCATACATCATGGACCACTTCACCTGTGCGGCTGTGCTCATCACCTCAGCCACCATTCTCATTCTCATCTCCGACACCTGCATCACACTTGCCATTCACAAGATCTAAGTCCCAAGGCAGGCAAAAAGCCTTCTCCACCTCTGCTTCCCACCCGATTCCTGCTGCCATGTTTTATGGAACAGGCTGCTTCATGTACACACAATTCACAATTCTCTATGGAGCACAATAAGCCTTGCTTCATTTATGCTCTGGTGATTCCCACGCTGAATCCTATGATGTACATACAGTCTGAGGAACAGGGAGGTCAAACCACCCCTTCAAAGAGCTGTAGCAAGCCTGTGTTTCTCTGAGTAGCACAGAGAGTCACGAGTCCAAGGAGATTCAGGAGTCCAAACAAGTCTTCAAGATCCTGAGAATTGTTAACTGTTAATTGTTAGCTGAGACATCAAACTGAATACAAATCTTATATCCATGTGGCCAGAGACAACAGAAAATGTGCACACCCAGTAGGATGACAGCTTCTAGTAGCTTCTAGGGTATGCCATAGGTTGGGAACAGAAAGAAAACAGCTTTAAGGAGAGATGGAGAAGAATATCAGAGTCCATTCTGAAAATGAGGAAGTTTTGTGAGGAAAAAGTAAGGGGACTTAATACTGGACATACCCAGGGATATTTAATACCTGGGTTAGACAGGGCAAGCAGTGTTTACTTTCAGAGTCCAGGAAAGTTTAGAAGAGTCCATCCACAGTGTACCATCAGAAGCAAAGGGAGGTAGGCCGTGAGCAGGGTTGGAGACAAAGCTCTGCTCTTGGTCTAGGATCCATCCAAGGAGCAAAAGCACACCTATAACCACACACATCTCCACTGTAGTCAAAGAAAGATCAGTAGCCTTAGACTGAGCTTAAATAAGGCTCCTGGGCCATGGGCATGTGTGTGAAGTGGTCCAGGTGAGAATCGTCATGGCCATTAAGTACTACTAGTGCCCTCCAGTATGTTAAAACTAAAACGAAACCTCATGCTTTGAATCATCTGAAATACTCATTTTACCTGATAGTAAGTTTTCAAGGCTACAGTTTCCAATATATGAAGACACAGAGTACTTAAAGCATGGCTAAAAAGAGGGCAAAGGCTCTCTGTTCACATGGAGCTACATGGAGAAGACAAGGGACAACAACTAGGGCAAAGGCTCTCTGTTCACAAGGAACTGTACAGAGAAGAGAAGGGGAAACAACTACAAGTGGACTGGGTGAGATTTTATCTCAAGAGAAGAAATAAATCTTTTACAGTAAGAACAACCATTCACTGGAACAACCTCTCCAGAGACATGGTAGAGTCCCCATTGCTTGAAGATTTCAAGATGCAATTGGACAGGGTGCTAGATAATCTCATCTAGTTTCACTTTCCTACAAAAAGATAATCTCTTTAGGTCACTTCCAACCTGGGCTATTGTATGATGATTCTGTGAAGAGCCTCTAAGTAATAAACACTATTCCATGTGTGTGTGCATATGCATGTGCAGTCCAAAGTGAATGACAGTTACATGTTAATCTTTAATCTTCCTGTTCTTGGTGCTTATGTTGGTTCTACAATTTGTTTTGTGTCTAAACAGCTCACCTTGGTGGGAACTAGATGAGCTTTAAGATCAATTCCAACCCGAATAATTCTATGATTCAATGATCCCTCATACTGTATGTTCATAAGGGTTGAAGAGAATAAACCAGACTTCCAGTGGAAAACAGCCTACTTAGAGGAAACAAGGTATATTAACAAAGCATCATCAGATTTAGTTAGCTACTTGCTGCAATAGGAGTCTTGGGTATGAAGGTTTGGAAGTCCTTGATTCTAAATTTCTAATGCCCCATAGGTATAAGGAAGGTGGTCATGGCAGATACATGCATCTTTCCACACAACTCTGGGAAACCTGATCTAGTGAAACATACCCCTGCCCATCACAGGGGGGTTGAACTAGGTGATCTTCAAGGTCCCTTCCAACCCAAACCATTGTGTGATTCTATGATTCTATGAGCCTATCTTTTGCGTGCAGGATAAAAAATAATGGCACTGAAATAGTGAATAGTAGCTTTTTTTATCCCAAAAGTACTGGGAATTTTAAAGCCAGAACTATATTCTGACCCGAATTTTGCAACTTGGTAGTATCTTTAAAGGAGAAAAAGAAATCATTCACAACCTCTCTCATGTTGCACACTTTCACATCTGACAGCACCATACAAAAGACAGAGAGGAAAATCTGCCCTGGTTGCATTGCAGACAGTAAAAAAGCACACATTAATAATATAATTGAATTTTGCTTAAGGAAAAAACCTTCTTTTCCCTGTAAGAAACACCTTCTTCACAGCAAATATGGAGAAGTGAAAAACCAGCTGAATATTCACAACTTAACTCCAGTGCATATTAGAACCAGTGCATGTTCTTGTGCACTGGTTCTACATTTTGGCTAACATACACTTTGTAAGAACACAGGATATTCATACACTGCCATGAATTATGGCAGTGACTGTTGGAGTGGCTCAGGAGGCATATTAAGTCATCTACAGCTGCTCTATATATGGTTATAGTAAGCAGTAAAAGTCAATCTTTGTCACGATTTCAATTGAAGTTCAAGAGCAATAGGCACATGAAATAATTTTTGGAAGGCACGTCAAGAATTTCAGGAATCATTTCTCGTTCGGAATAGATACATGAAAATAGTTCATTTTCATCCCTCATTGGTTATACGAGATTAGCCAGATACGCAAACAGGTGAAGTCTGATTTTCATTGGCAAATATGAAGTGCAAATGCACAGATAATGATTAGTATGGGGATTTCGTTGATACAGGCTATTTTTCTTCACTGTATTTGGACTCCCCCTGTTTGATTCATTCACCGGGATACCTTTACAGAATTCCAGGCATCCTGCTGCAAAAGAGCACGTCAGAGAAGACTTTATGTGTAGAGATGTGAATGAGCAACTGCAGGGAAAGGCTGGCGGTTCTCCTGAAGCAGCAGGATAAAAAAAGATCACCAAACAGAGCTTGCCAACAATGTTGTGCCTGTTTGAGCTGGCTCTTCAATGATAGAGCTGTCTGTGCTCCCATCCTCCTGTTCCAACAGGGCAGCCCCACTTCCAGGAATATGCGAGTGGCTCTGTGCTGAGAGATGGGTCAGCCTATGGGTATCGATTTCTGACAGCAGCCAAAAGTAGATGTTCAGATAAAGAGTAGCAGAAACTGGATGAGCGTATTAAGATCCTTCCTTGTTAAGAGTTTTCCAGCTCTGGCAAAGAAAATCACAGCTGGCTGACAGAGCTGCCTCTTTCTAGTGTTGTTGGGCACGAGATAAAAAAGAAATCTTGGTTTTGAGGAACACTTACACATAAGCACCTAGCCCCAGGAGGGGGTTACAGCTGATGATCTCTCCTCAGAGACAAGCACACCTCTTTATCCTGGCTGAAGTTGCTTATATTCCTAATGGAAGCAGGTCCAAAGTGAGGTCTTACTTCCCCTCAGGCCTCCGAAAGTTGGACTGAACCTTTGGCACACCTCGTCCAGCAGCAACACCTCATCAGAAATGTCTTGTGAGATAAACCCAGTCACTGAGCCCAAATTTCTGCCGTTCAGACAGCTGAGGTTTTCTATATGTGTATATTTGCTGAATCCTGTGCTCCCTCAGAAGCTCTTCTGACTTCCTGAGGTGTCCAGGCACACGGATGGGG